GCTTTCGCGATTACCAAAAATACCAGCAAATAAATTGAAAAAAAATAATAATAAAATATAGGAAAATATATATTAACAAAAAAAACAATCCAAATAAACCCCAAACTAGAACTTATTTTAATCAGATTGAACATATTACAACCCGTTTCAGACCTTACTTCTCCTTTTCCTTTCATCCTGACAGGTTTATTGATTATAATTATATAATTCCTGTTTGTAACATTGTCTTAGGAAAACAAAACACTCTATCTAAATGCCTAGACGCCCATTTGCTAATAAACAACTGGCGAACATAGTGTGAAAATTTCATGTGAAATAAACAACAATTGTGAAAGCTATTTAGGTTTGAGCGTCTCGGACCAACTGAAAAACACAAACGGAGATAATGACTAATTTGCATAACCATTCACTCAGAATTTATTTGGCCGATGCTTATAGTTAAAACTGCTGTTACAGGCACAAATTTTAACGAATTGTCGTTTCGTAAAAAGTTATACACAGTGCACAATATGGAGATTCCGTTATTACTTTTTTTCAATCCAGCTTCTTATTTGCTATTTATGTATAGCCTTATAATTCTTGCTAAGCATTCCAAAGGGAGACTGTTTGTGCCCGTTTTCTGCATTTCAAAGTCGTTTTATTTAGTACGTTCCACTTATGATAGAGCTCCAAAATTTTAACAGTTTCTGCCAAGACTGTCTTAGTAAGAAAAAGCCAAAAAAAAATCACTCTAAGTGCTCATGAACCTGCATCTATACCTTAATTGCTAGTCCATTTTTTCATCATTTTCAAAATAAATGCTATTGTTTTTTTTCAATACTTTAAATCAGGATCTCAAAATATGTCCATTTTGGCCAACATTTTACAAAAGAATTATAGAAAAATTCACAAAAAGTATGACATAAAAACGGTTGCAGTATATCCCAGCACAAGTGTTGATGGATATGGTGTATGCTGTATTTTTGTTTTATTTCAATATTAGAATTGGTAGTAAAGTAAAGTTAACCCTCATCGTAAAATAGATTCTTATTACCAAACGCTTCAGCGTGGTATTAAGAGTTTGTTTTCAGGGGTGGGTGATACCAAGGTGGGAAATGGATGCACATATGGGGTTAATTCCTTGAATTGCAATATAGAGGGTTCAGGCTGAAATACAATATATAGTGTTTTCATGTTTCGTCTGATATTTCTGTGGTATTCTGCTGCTGTAAGTAATGCACG